TCGATTCGTGCCAACCCAACAGGCACTTTCGGAGATACCTGTAGTGCACCTTTATAGTCACCCAGTTACGTTGTGACGTTTGGTACACCCAAAGCATTCCTACGGTATCCGGGAGTTGCACAATCTCATGGTCTAAGGAAATGATACTTGACATTAAAAAAAGCTTTAGCATACGAACTACACGACTAGTGCTATGCTTAGGATTGGGTCTTGTCCATCACATCATTCTCCTAATGATGTGATCCCGTTATCAACGACATCCAATGTCCATGGTTAGGAAACCATAACCATCTATTGATCAACGAGCTAGTCAACTAGAGGCTTACTAGGGACATGGTGTTGTCTATGTATGCACACATGTATCTGAGTTTCCTATCAATACAATTATAGCATGGATAATAAACGATTATCATGAACAAGGAAATATAATAATAACTTATTTATTATTGCCTCTAGGGCATATTTCCAACATCTTCTCGAAGACCAAGGAAAAAGAAGTTTAGTTGTATGCAAAATGGATAATTAGTGTCAATCTTATTGCTACACGTGCATTCTAACCTTTCTGCCTGATAATTTTTATGCAAGAAAATTTGTCAACTATTATGATTCAGCCTTGCTTTTATGAAGGGGATTTTGATATATGTTGTTATATTTGTCATAAAATTCATTTCAATATTAAATTTACGGTTCTGGATACATTCAAGTACATTTCCTCTATTTCAGAAGGAAGTGCAAGCGAATCTCATGACTATAATTCGATGATAACATCTACTCCCTCCGTAAAAAAATATAAGAGTGTTTGGATCACGAAAGTAGTGATCTAAACACTCCTGTATTTCTATTGAGGGAGTATTTTGATACACATTTTTTTTGTGATAACAATTTGTTTTATTTCATCTAGCTCTTTTTAAGAACTACGGATCTGATTTCTGAAATGTTGAAGCTGGTTTAGATGATGAGGGTGACTAGCCGATGGATGGGATTAATTCTTCTATGAAGTCTATTGGCATAAGAAGCTGCCAAGATGCTGCTGAGAAAGAAAAGGTTATGTGTATGTGGTCAATGATCAAGGACGACATAGGAAAGTTACCAAAGTTTGTCTGTTTATTTACTTTAATGAATCACTTCCATCACTAGGAAAGTGTTTTGAGGATATTAAGTATTCCTACCTTATCGACCGTGCATATGAAAGCGGCAAAGTGTATGACTTCTTTCCACTATTTTTGCATCCTCTTCTTTTCTTACTTGACTCAATTTAGTCCAGAGGAGACCATTCTAGGAAATAGGGAGACACTCGGCTTTCTTCATCCGCCACTGGCAATGAGCTGAAACTGATGTCTGCCAATAATGATTAGTTAGGTGAGCTTATTAGTTGTGTGCTCTCCTTAGTGGTGTATGTGGTCTTGTTGGTTCCAGGTCAGCCGGGTGCCCTTCTATGTGGGCATGCTGTAACACTTTTTGCCTGGGTTTTCGTTAATTAATTGGGCAACTCTATTCTTCCTTGTTTAATGAATGGGGCCCTAAGCATGTGATTTATACACTGCATATACTGATATTTTGATATATGTTTTTATAGATAAGTTTTTTGCTTCATGGCATATACTGGCATTTTCATATATGTTTTCATAGATAAGTTTGTTGTTCATGGCAACACATACGCATTCAACTAGATTTAGCTTAATTCCTTATATTAGGAATAGATCTTGAAGGTGATGTGGTCAGATTGTTTTTGTATCATTTTGGACAACAAAACAATGACATGGAAGCTACATGTAAAGTAAAAAGTATATGAAACTCAAACCTAGGTGGGAAGTCAAGAGGCAATAGGTTGAGAGGATGAATGATGTCTAGACAGAGGAGGTGATGAACAACAAGTTCGGTGGAAAAGGGCGGCTAGAGGGATGTGTGGTGTTTGTAAGAATAGAGAGAAGAAGATGCTTGCAGTTATGGTATGGTTGAACATTATGTGCACATGCAATGTGCTCATTGAAGGGGAGGAAAATGATCATTGTTTACAAATTCATTTGTTGGCCCGTGGCACAATGATATATGGAAGAGGATAAAGATATATATGCCACTTTGTATTCTTGCAAAGAAAGGGTGGTTAAGTAGACACAATGATCATCAAGGAGGAAATGAATGGGAGATATGAGGGTCTCGAGACAATGTCATTGAAAGAGGCCGAAAATTCATTGAGTTTTATACAACAATTAGGAAAATATATTATAAAGTCCGTGGCAACGCACGGGCGTTCTACTAATCTACCTAACGTTCGGTCTGGGGATCTCCTAGACCGAACGAATCGCTCGCGCTCGATGGGGGGGCGGATCGAACGATTTTGTTCGATGGGAAAGAAGCCCCAACGCGAACGCCCCATCCCCTTGAGCCCCGTACCCTCGTTGCGATAAAAATCCTTTGCACAAAGACACGTCCCAGTAACAAAAGTGGGTGAAAAACAGGCCCAGCTTGAACATAGTAAAAAAGGCCTTAAAGAAAAGATAATATACTATGCACGACCTATTTCGGCTAAGAAAGCATACAAACTTGACATCCCTTTACAATAAAACAGAATCCATGGTTAAAAAAGATTCAAAATTAATTTATATATATGAAAAAAAATTAAGCTGGGGCAACCTCACTTCTAGCATAAACTTATGCCGGTACTAAAAGACATCTTTGCTAGTTGTTGTTGTAAGGTAGTTGGGAATGGATCCGGAACTTGTTTTTGGAAGATATTTGGATTGGAGATAGACCCATAAGTCGCCAAAAATAAAAAGAGATAGAGCCATGTGCAAGTTGTTTCCAAAATTGTACGTACGTGTAACCATCTGCATGCTGTTTGTGATGGTGCAAGGCTGTAAGAGGAATGTGATAAATGCATGTGGAGACTGGAGACATAGCAAGCCTGGTGTGTTCTAGGTGAAATTCTTTACCGTTTCTCAAAATATGGATCAATGATTGTTCCATATGTGGATGTTGGATTTCCGCTTCAAGGTGGAAGTTATTATTGGTTGATTATTGAAAAGAGTGTTCGCACGAGAGATAATTTTTAGAAAGTGTGGTTGGGCAGTTCAATAGAACAAGAATTATACCATGGCATTTTTATTTGGTTACACCATGATAGTTCTGTTGTATGTACCATGAAAAAAAATAATTATTTAGACCATAGTTATTTTTCTATAGGTAGCATGGCAGTTTCAATATTTAGACCATGGCAATTTTTTGTAGGTACCATGGCAACTTCAATATTTAGACCATGAGAAGTATTGATAAAATTGGGGATCCAAAAACAGTCTTGATCTGATCGTTGGACACAAACAAAATACACGAAGTTGCGTTGGCTCACTTTTAGCTAAATAAATCCTCATAAAAAAGCTGCTAGATTGATTTACCTATATAGAAGCAATGGGTGGTGGCCAAAGAGGTGGAAGGTGTTTCAAGGCAACCTAAAATTAACCCTAGGTCGGACAAGGCCCATGGGACCAAGTGGAGGTGATGCAACACCTTTGGACTTGTAGTTTGACTCAGATTCCGCTGTAAACATCAGATTGTTTCGTCAATATCTCCATGCTCCAGACGAATTTGAAAGTGAATCCAATTGGGTTGGAAAGTTCACGAAATAAATATTCCAACAAAAAAAGAATCATCCAATTTAGAGTCCTGATGCAAAAGTTCTTCACGTTTTAAGTCAGGTATGTTTGAGCAGTCCGAATTTGAGTTCAGAGCGTGGGGTACTTGGCCTCTATCTTCTCTTGACCCAAAAATAACGTGAGAAGACTTCTTGAGCAACATCTAATCATTTCCTTTGACGTACGAGGACTTCTTGAGCAACACCTAACCATTTCCTTTCCCTCTATCTTCACCCGTGGTTGTAGAAGTGTTAAACAATTCTACATTTAGGCATGAAATAAAAATAGGTGAAGTATTTTTGTCCCGATAACATAAATAAATTATTGCATATTTTTTTATAAGAAATCACTTCACAAATATGCATGTATGCAATATTTTTGGTCGTGTTTAATGTAGTCATGTCCTCATCAACTAGAGTGTGCTTAGCGAGGCTATGTGCCTCAATATTAGATTCGCGTCCCTCGAAAATGAAAGTACAAGATGTGAATTGAGCTCAAGTTGATTTGATCTCCTTCGTGATGATGCCATACAAGCCTTCTGCATCGATTTTGATATTTGTAACAACCTCTTTGGCAGTCTAATGCTATTAACATGAGAAATTTGTTAATGGTATTTTTTTTTTGCAAAAAAGTTAACTGAGCCTTGGGCCAACTGGGGTCACGATAGAATCTATTGAAGCGAACACGTGAGATACCCTCGAAGAAAAAAAAATCTCCTCACTATGACCCAAAGATTATCCTCGATATTGACGGAATCTAAGAGGAGGCTAGGATGCATGAATTTGTTGCGAAAAACCCTTGCATTTCTAAGAAAAGCTACTAATTAAAATGTAAAAACTCTACAGAAAAACTACAAAAAATTGAAATGTATAAAATTCCCAAGAAATATTTTTGAGATAAATATGCCTTAAAATATCTTTGAAAGTATTTTTTTATTTGATGGAATTAAACAAACGGAGGTCATGTAAGAGGATCCAGACCAACGCGACATCATAGTATTGTGTTTCAATATTTTGGTGTCTTTACAATTCTACTAATCAAATATGCCCTCAAACATGTTGTAATGTAAATTCATTGGACTGCTTTAACACCACGTCAAGCAATTTTGGTTCTTGTTTAGGAAAAAAAGCGTTAACTAATTTATCTCTGAAACTGAAACAATGTTATTCCTTTGCACTTTTAAAGTGTGAAAATTCAGTAAGTAACTAACAAATCCACCATTTCTCCAGAGAAGAGATAACAGTACCAGCACCCACAAATCCAAACACCAAGACCAGCTCCAGATGAAAAGCATCATCCCCTTCCTTCCCCCAATCCCCAATCCCCAGTCCCCTTCCGCTTCCCACCCACAACCCTAGCTCCCCCGAACCCATGGATCCCACCAAATCCAGCACCCCGCCGCCGCCCCCCGTCCTGGGCGCGCCCGTCGGCTACCCGCCGGGGGCGTACCCTCCTCCGCCGGGCGCCCCCGCGGCCGCCTACCCGCCGCAGCTCTACGCGCCGCCGGGCGCCGCCGCCGCCCAGCAGGCCGCGGCGCAGCAGCAGCAGCAGCTGCAGGTGTTCTGGGCGGAGCAGTACCGCGAGATCGAGGCCACCACCGACTTCAAGAACCACAACCTCCCGCTGGCCCGGATCAAGAAGATCATGAAGGCCGACGAGGACGTCCGCATGATCGCCGCCGAGGCCCCCGTCGTCTTCGCCCGCGCCTGCGAGATGTTCATCCTCGAGCTCACCCACCGCGGCTGGGCGCACGCCGAGGAGAACAAGCGCCGCACGCTCCAGAAGTCCGACATTGCGGCCGCCATCGCCCGCACCGAGGTCTTCGACTTCCTCGTGGACATCGTGCCCCGGGACGACGCCAAGGACGCCGAGGCGGCCGCCGCCGCGGCCATGGCCACGGCGGCGGCCGGGATCCCGCGCCCGGCCGCCGGCGTGCCTGCCACCGACCCGAGTATGGCATACTACTATGTCCCCCAGCAGTAATGTATCATCGATCTAAACTTGCGCATTTCTAATCGGAGAATGTGTTGTTGTTCTGTGACTGTCCTTGGTGCTGTTGTTGCTGCGGCGTAATAAGATTTATGGGCCTCCCCTGAGCTTATGAATTGAGCTGTTCGGTTCTAGTATTACAGTAGGATTGTTGTAATGGGGGAGGCCGTATGATTGCTTCCGTAGTGCATGACTAACTGGCCACCCAGTGTAATCTGATAACTATTATCTGGCGCCTCCCATGGTTACTATGTATTTATGTTCTTCATTTTCCCCGTGCATTAGTTTTTTGTTGTTCTATGATAGTATTGTGCTGTGATTACTCAACATTAGGCTGCAAGGTTCTTCCATGCAATTAGGCCCTTGAAGCAATATGCGGATACTTTGAATAAACTGATAGTAATATTTGACTGGCATAGGATCTTGCTTCATGTGATAGTAAGATAGTGTGGATAGCTAGTGTTCTCTCATGTTTATTTTCAAGCAAGATTTACTATGAAACACTGAAACTCAAAATGCTGGAAGTATAGCTTCCTGCATGCTTTGTATAATATGCGATGACAGGTCTTCAGCTATTTTTCATTTCCTTTTTCTTTTTCGCAATTCAGTTGATCAGCTTTGCAACCAACATATTTACCGGAAGGTCATATTTTATACTCCATCCGTCCCAAAATAAGTGTCTCAACTTTATACGAACTTTAGTACAAAAGTTGAGACACTTATTTCGGGACGGGGCGAGTAACAAGTAGCGTTGCAATATGTTTGCAATTCTAACTGTAAATCTTCAGGGGCACTATTAGTGCAAATAACTGTTGGCTCCAATGGAGAAATGTATAATTGGAAATACATTCTCTATTATCTGAGTTCAAAATCAACTGTTATAATGTGCTAGTGTGGATATTTTTTGGCATATGGACCACTGAATACTTCACCATTACTTTGTCATCGTTCCATTTTCAGTAAATTAGAGTAGCATGTCCTGTTCCACCAAATTTGTGCAATCTTGTATGCATAGTATGTTCATATACTGGAGCAATCAAAGTTTGTAATGGGGGAGTAAGCATTACAAATATACATAGTACTCCCTCCGTTTTTATTTAGTCCGCATATTAACTTTGGTCAAAGTCAAGCTTTGTTAACTTTGACCAAGTTTATAAACAAAACTATTAACATATATATACAATAACAAATTAATATCATTAGATTTATTATTCAATGTACTTTCACATCATATAGATTTGTTATGGTAAATGCTTATATTCTTTTCTATAAACTTGGTCAAACTTTACGAAGTTTGACTTCAGTCAACTCTAATATGCGGAGTAAATAAAAACGGAGGGCCAGTGCCCTGCCAGTGCCTAAAACGGCGAAATTAGGCCCCCAGGAGCCCCCTGGTGCGCTGGGTGTCGCATGGGACCGCTGGCGCAGTTTTTTGCTTTTGACGGCGAAAAACGAGCACTCGGGGGCACGAGTGGGACATTTTTTGCCCGCCGACGCCTAAAATGTGGTTTGGGTAGGCTTGTTGGGGGCATGGGTGGAGATGCTCTAAGTCCGGGTTGTTCTCAGCATAGCCGCTTCTCGTGCATGACATATATACTAGTTGAACGTGGAGAACGATTTTATCCACGGACCATGCTGCTGGTAGCGGTCGGGCTTTGTCCTTCGAGCATCTGTGTTGTGCCTAAATAATTGGTGTTTAGAGCATTTTGACCAAAGAAACAGCTCCAGCAAATGATGTATCACTATTTGATGATGAATTTTTTTTAGGCAACCTCAAATTTTAAATCCAAGTGTTGCATATCTGTAGCAGCACTAGCGGCTACCCATTCTTTTTAATGGCTGTGGCGCAAGCCCAACCGCCAGTGTGAAGTTTCGCCACCGCTGTGCCAGTCGATCTTGGCCACCAACCGCCGCCGCCACCACTCCGCCGATGGCCATGAACACCGGCACCACATCCCGCCCCTCGGCGACCTCCGCCAAGCTCACAACACGACTGTCCCATCCTGTTGACGCCGATTGCCCAATCCCGCTCCTTCGATGTTGTCTGCTCGTCCCACCGAGCTCGCGCATGGCTGCCCTTTCCCGCCCTCGTCCCTGAGCTCCCGCCACCATCCTTCTTAGTTGGCTTATGCGGTGTGCCTCTCCGTGCATAGTTTCCCGAGCTCCCGCTGCCGTCCTTAGTTGGCTTATGCGGTGTGCCTATCGGTGCATAGTTTCGGAAGATCCCACAATAGGATGACATGGATTTTCCACGGCCTCCGGTATTCGCACACACACTAGTTGACAAGTAGGATAATTTCAATTCAACATTGACAAAGAGCGCAGAGAACAAGGAAAAGTTCATAGCATTGGAAAAAAATAAATTTTGTTACATGGTGCACTACCTGATAGCTAGGTTTTTTTTAACATAGTACATACACAAGCACTCATATACACGCGCATACACTCATTCCTATAAACACGCGCACGCACATGAGCACCTCCGAAAGAAACCAGAATTTGAACTCTGGTGGGCTAAGGATACCACAGTCCCTCTAACCATCCAACCATAGGTTGGTTTGCTACCTAATAGCTAGTTGATAGTAACATTTCTTGCAACGATGCACCACATCTAACACTTGTTAGATCTTTTGCATCACTAGGATGCCATGAGCATGATCTAATTGCATATAGAACACCTAGATAACATAAACAGAGAAGGATTTAGGGTTCATTAGGATTCATGAAGGTCAACATGATTGCCTGCCCATTGCAGGCGTGGTGGAGCGATGATCTAGTCGAAGTAGTCGATCTCATGGATGTCCTAATCCCCTCAGGCCGCCACTGACATTGCCCTGCAACGACAACGTGTAGGCTAGGTCTTCCCGTCACTGCATCGCACACTTTGATTGGATAGGGTTTAGGAATATGGAGAGAAGAGTGAACCATACATGAATAAATGATCGCACAGGTAGCCAACTCTTTCCCTTATCCCTTTTATATAATGCTAGTAATAGGGAACCTAAACCATAAGTTGGTTTGGGTGCCCCCGATCAGGCCACATCAGTTTGGTTCAAGGGCCACGTACATTGGTGCGTGAATCCTTTTCCCGTAACATTATCTTTTTGGTTGTTAAACCATTAGATCAACCAACATCCCCCCTCTTGATCGTTACGCTTAACTGCATTTGCTCATTATCCATAGGAATGATATACCAAAGTGAAGTGTTACAACAACTCACAAAACGTCATAAAACCTCAAAACTTATAGCACACCTACCTATTTCGAAATGGAAAACATTTTGCTTATTGAGGACTCTTTATGTTAATGGTCATATTATTCCAGAATCATAAGGATCTCAGTAATCCCATGCCAGCAACCTAATCATGAAAAATACCTATCTGGTAAGCCTTTTGTTAGCGGATCCGCAAGGATATGTGTTGTACCTATGTGTTTAATATTATTTGTTTGATCATGGATTCTATCTTCTGCAACATGAAACTTGATATCAATGTGCTTGGCACTAGCACTTGACTTGTTGTTACTCATATAGAAAACCACATATTCATTATCACAGTACAATACAAGTGGTTTAGATATGTTGTCAACCACTTTAAGCATGGGGATAAAACTCTTTAGCCATACAGCCTACCCGGTGGCCTCAAAACATGCTACAAATTCTGTTTGTGTTGTAGATGCATCATTTAACATTTGGTTGGAGCTTTTCCATGATACGGATCCTCCTATAAGTATGAATCTATAACCTGGCATAAATTTTTTACTATCCACACACCCGGCAAAATCAAAGTACGAAAGACCAACAATTTCTAGGTTACCAGACCTTTTATATGTAAGCATGAGATCTTTAGTTCCTTGCATATAACACAAAACTTTCTTTGCGGCCTTCCAGTGGTCCGGACTTGGATTTGATTGGAATCTGCCAAGCATCTTAGTTACAAAGCCAAATCTGGGCGTGTACAAACTTGAGTCTACATGATTCTTCTGACAACTGAAGCATAGGAATCCCACTTCATCTGATCAATTTCATATTGGTTCCTTGGACATTGAGATGTCCCAAACTTATCACCCTTGAGTATAAGAGAAACTGAGGCTGAGCACATATGCATCTTGAATTTCTTTAGTACTCTCTCAAATTATGCCTTTTGTGATAGTCCTAACATTCCTCTGGACCTACCTCGATGAATCTCGATGCCAAGGACATACGAGGCTCCACCAAGATATTTCATATCAAAAATGGACAACAGAAAATTCTTGGTCTCATGAAGCATATCCTTATCGCTACATGCCTACAATATGTTATCAACATATATGACTAAAATTGTGAACCTACTACCTTTAAATTTAACATATATGGAATTGTCTACAATATTTTCCATGGAACCGAAAGTTCTCATAATGTTATTGAACTTGAGGTACCACTGTCTTGAAGCTTGCTTCAAGCGATAAGTGGATTTCTTTAGACAACATGCTAAATGTTCCTTCCCTTAGACAAAAAACCCTTTCGACTGAGTCATGTAAACGTCTTCGTTGAGCTCACCATTTAGAAATGTCATTTTAACACCCATTTGGTGCAATTCTAGGTCGTAATGAGCTACTAATGCCATGACGATTCTTGATGAATATTTGGTTGACACAGGAGATAAGGTTTCATTATAGTCAATTCCTTCTCTCCATGTGAACCCCCTTTTTAGAACCAAAGCATACACTCATGCATTGGTGGTAGTACATTCCGGCAACATCCTTTGTCTAACACTGTCATGCACCTCAGCTAGGAAGAAGTGGTTCCCATATTCTCTAACCGTCGCAGCAATCTCATGTGCTAGCTTGTTATGATTCCTCTTGACAATGCTTATTTGCACGCTGGCAAACTGTTTCATCTGTTCCTTTATGTCTGTAATTATGCCAAACCAGGGCGATCTGCTCATTCCTTCTCCTTGGAGTTCTCGCCCTATAGTAGCACAGTCTGTCTCTACTATTAGATGCCCATTGAAATA